AAGGGAGAGGGAGAGAGAAATATCAATGATGAGAGAGGATCACTGTCGGCTGCCTCCTGCATGCCCCCTATTGGGGTGGGGATTAAGCCCACAAGCCCTTGACCAGAATCAAACCTAGGACCCTTCATTCTGCAGGCCGACGTTCTACCCACTGAACCAAACCAGCTAGGGCAAAATTTTTATTTTTACTAGAGGCCTGATGCACGAAATTCACACAAGAGTAGGCCTTCCTTCCCCCCGCTTCCCTCTGGCACCTGGAACCCGGGCTTCCCTTGCAGCCCTGGCTTCGTCCGGAAGGTCGTCCAGAAGGACATCCAGTATAATTAGCATATTATGCTTTTACTAGTGTCCCAGTGCACAAAATCGTGCACAGGGGGATGGGGGTGGGTGGGGATGTCCCTCAGCCCAGCCTGCACCCTCTCCAATCTGGGACCCCTCAGAGGATGTCCCTCTCACAATCCGGGTCCGCTGGCTCCTAACCGTTCACCTGCCTGCCTGCTTGATCGCCCCTAACCCCTCTGCCTGCCAGCCTTCTTGCCCCCAACTGCCGGCCACGCCAGCCTGCTTGCCCCCAACTGGCCCCCTGCCAGCCTGCTTGCTCCCAATTGCCCCCCGCACCCGTCAGCCTGATTGCCCCTAACTGCCTCTGGCTTTGTCCAGATGGACATCCGGAGGTCCCCCGGTCTAATTAGCATATTACTCTTTTATTAATATAGATTATTATAGACTAAGAGGCCCTACTAAGGAGGAGGGTCCCTCAGCCCAGCCTGTGCCCTCTCACAGTCCAGGACCCCTCGGGGGATGTCCGGGACCCCTCACTCGTTACTGCCCACCTGCTCGCTGCTCCTTAGCACTGCCACAGAGGCTGAAGAGGCTCCCGCCACCGCCAATGCGCTCGCCAGCCATGAGCCCAGCTTCTGGCTGAGTGGCACTCCACCTGTGGGAGCGCACTGACCACCAGGGGAAAGCTCCTGCTTTGAGTGTCTGTCCCCTGGTGGTCAGTGCACATCATAGCGACTGGTCGTTCTGCTGTAATGGTCACTTAGGCTTTTATTACATAGACTAGAGGCCCCGTGCATGAAATTCATGCATGCAGGGGGTCCCTCAGCCTGGCCTGTGCCCTCTAGCAGTCTGGGAGCCCTTGGGGGATGTCTGACTGACGGGAGTGGGCCTAAGCCGGCAGTCGGACATCCTTAGCACTGTCGCGGAGATGGGAGAGGCTCCCGCCACCACCACTGCGCTCGCCAGCCGTGAGCCCGGCTTCTGGCTGAGTGGCGCACCCCTGTGGGAGCACACTGACCACTAGGGGGCAGCTCCTGTGTTGAGTGTCTGCCCCCTGGTGGTCAGTGCACGTCATAGTGACCGGCTGTTCAGTCCATTTGCATATTACCCTTTTATTATATAGGATTACTTAATCCCAATGGCGCTGCTTTATTTAAAGGACAGTTTACATCAATTTGCATTCACAACCCGAGGGCCTTGCAAGTGAAGAATAACTTAATTTCTTCAATATATACCATACTATTTAAATGTGAAAGGTTACCACAAAGGTCAGCAAAAACTATCTGCAGCCTCATTTACGCTATCAGAGGCGAGCAAGAGAGAAGGCCACCTACCTCTAAGGTGAACGACAGCACCACGTCAGATTTGGACAGCTGAATCTCACTCTCATCTCCTATGTCCAAAAATGCAGAATTCTGGGAACGTTTTAATTTCTGTAGTTTAAACTCTGGACCACCTTTCGAAACTGGAAGACTTTCCAAGTTGGCCATTAGCAAATTCACTGAGGATCGCAACTCTTCTATGTACATAGTCTCCATTTCTTTTGTTAAGAATTTGGGGAATTTTCTTTCCTTGAAAAGAATTTTTAAAATAACAGTGTTACACAAGTCATATTTCTAGTTGTTCATAAAACACATTTGGCATATAGTAACTCTTAGAAATTGCAACACTAGACATAATGCATCTACTTTAGTCTCTAGGCTTTAAAAGCCTCAGGCTCTGGCGAATTTGATTATATCTGAAGGTACATGATATACCCTACTAAAGATCGTTATGGTACAAAATGAATAACATTGTATACATTTCCACATTAACTTTATTTTTCATGAGGTATTTGCTTAAAGGATAAACAAACTCTGAAAATATACATGTAAGAAGTTTTAGTGTACAGATGAATCTTAATTAGCCACTGTTAGCTTTGAAATTCTTGGGATATCTGGCCTGAGAACAATGTTCATTGTGCACTGTTTTGACTTTTAGGAAACAAATTTTTTAACAATATCTTTCCTTCTTAACACACATGTGCATTGTTTGGAGGTTATGCTTTTTATAAATAAGCATTCAAAGGCAAAAAAAAAGCCACAAAGGTCAGAATATTAAATAGCAATACAGTCATATTTCTAAAATTGCTTAATTTTCAATATGTCAAGATCCCTTATGTCCATAAATTCAGATTTTTCGTAAAGCCTTAGAAAATATTAAGTTTAAAGCAAAGAAACAATTTATGATAAAAGCTTAAGGTAAAAAAGTAACAATATCGAAGTTAAAGATTCTATGTTTTCTGAATTACATGAGCATTGCCATTCAATCCTGCTACCTCTGCAATCAGGTTTGTTTCTCCCACTCAACTAAAAGCACATTCCAAATGTTGATATTTACGTAAGGTATTGAGAGAGATTGCCAAACTGTTCTTAGAGAAGATTATATACATTTATACTCCCACACACAGCAAATGAGGTTTCCTCACACTCTTAGCTCTGTCTTTAATCTTTGACAACCTGACACTTAGCTCTTCTCTTAAAGGTAGAGGGTATAGAGCTTTAGAATGTCGAGTGCAGTGTAACATAACCACCACTGTACACAACTGGCTGGGGTGAGAGCAAAGCAGACATCTTTCAGATGATCGCCTAAGTTTCCAGAAAACCAATGCCTTCACTGTTGTTTCCTGTGGCATCATTCAAAACATCAGCTAAGATCTGCACCTCTGTGTGACTGGACCACATCCAGCGCACGCTCATCAACTGGCAGCAGGCTCGGCCTCACCGGCACCAGTTCGTTCTCACGATGGGAAGAACATCTGGTGTCACTTTTCAACTCAGTCCCAGACTCTCAGACCACCTGCTCTGCTTTTCCCCCACGTAAATTTCACATGTTTTTCTTAAAGTAATTTACACATAATCAATATTAAACTGTATATTTATTATCACAGAATGATTAAAATTCTACATGCATAATTAACCTCCCCAAGGAAGATTAAGTATCCTTTCAACATTCCTCTATAGTTTTTTTAAAAATATATTTTATTGATTTTTTACAGAGAGGAAGGGAGAGGGATAGAGAGCCAGAAACATCGATGAGAGAGAAGCATCGATCAGCTGCCTCCTGCACACTCCCCACTGGGGATGTGCCCGCAACCAAGGTACATGGCCTTCACCGGAATCGAACCTGGGACCCTTCAGTCTGAAGTCCGACGCTCCATCCACTGAGCCAAACCGGTTAAGCTCGTCTATAGTTTTAAGCAACATTCCAAAATAGCAAGTTTGCCTCCACAGTAAAAAAATATATATATAAGTACACAGTTACAGAATACCTTTATTACCTTTGGGAAAAAAAAATAATGCTTTGGGATGGTTTTTCTGTACACATACCAGAAAAAAAAAGCAAAATAAGCCATAATAACTGAATTTTACACTTGCGAACCAATTTTATTAGCTGTCATAAAAAGCATCCAAAACTTAGAAACAGGGCAAAAAGCTGAGGTGACAGTTCCTTTCAATGTCATGTGCGGGAAAAGGCCATCCAAGGATCATCTGAGGAAATGTGCTTATTTCAATTTTCTGTTTACTATTGATTAAAGCTCCCAGACAGTGAAGTTACATGTTACCTTATAGACATTTCTCTGAAACACATGCAAATAATCTGTGTCTGGTGAGTAGAATAATCCAACGGTTATAATTTAAATCCTAGTTGGAAATTAATCCCTTTTATATCTCTATTAATCTTACTTTACCTTTGCCCCAAACACCCAGTTTTCAAACACCCTCCAGTTTAGACTAGTTTTTTTTTAATTTCTTTTTATTGATTAAGGTATTACATATGTGTCCTTATCCCCCCATTATGGACTAGTTTTAACATCTAACTAGTTTGCTCATTAATTATGCATCGAATGAAATCTTCATTGTATGTTCATTTTATATTTGTATAAGAGTCATAATTGTGCCTTTTAAAAATTATACTTTAGCAAAGCAAAAGGCAAATATATCACAAGTTTGAAAGTTTGTATGTTCCATTTTTATTTTTCAAATTTTTGGGGTTTTATTTTATGGCAAATAGCATTGGCACATGAAAAAAAATCTATTTTTTTTACTGACACTATTACAGATGTCCTCCATTCCCTTCCCCAAGCATTTGCCCACCTCCACCCAGCCCCCACCAATGTGTCCCCTGGTCTTCACTACATTGTTGTCTGTGTTCATATATATTCTCCCCCCTCCCTTTGGATACTCTCTATTCTTATTTACCTTTAATTAAAAACACTTCATTCACTATCATGTTTCAATGAGAAGACTGTTAGGAATCACCAAACTTAAATATTTTGTCAGCATTTTCAAACTTTTAAGAAAACAGACTATACTAGAATATTTTTCTCTTTGAAAAAAAAGTGACAACTCTGTTTAAATGCTTTTAGGTTTGCTGATAGTACTTCATAAACCTTATTTAACTTGCTTGTGTTACCTATTTCTTGGAAACAGACCAATTACACATCAGACAAGTATACATGTTAAATGCGATCTTTTAAATTAAAACAGCATCAGAAATAGGGTTACTCTCTGGTTTAACTCTGAATCACCAAGTGTCTGCTATGTGTTCTATTCTAGGCCCTTAGGATGTAACCACAAAGATACTGATTTAAAAAAATCCTCTGTACTATGGAGCTTAAATTTTACTGTGAGGAGACATATATCATAAATAAGGAGATCATTTCAAAAGGTAGAAAGTGATCAGTGGGAGAAAAAGCCCAGATGGCGACATGTAGTGTAAAGGTGTTGTAAATATGGTGGCCAGGGAAGGACTCAATGAGGAGATGACCTTTAAGCATAAAAGTAGATGAAGGAGTAAGATAATTAATTTTATATGTCAACTCGGCTACACTATGGTGCTGCTGTTTGGTCAAACACTAGTCTAGATGATGCTGTGACGATAATTTTTAGATATGATTAGCATTTACAATAAGTAGACTTTGAGTAAACCTGATTGCCTTCCCATATCTGAGTAGGCCTCATCCAATCAGTAGAACACCTTAAGAGCAAAGCAGCAATTCTGCCTCAATACTGTAATATCAAAACTTACCTGAGTTTCTTGCCTGTTGGCCTGTCCTGCAGATTTTGAATTCAAGACTACAATATCGGCTCTTCCTTGAATTTCAAGCCTACTACATTGCACTATAGGTTTTGGACTTGCCAGCCCTACAACCATATGATCCAATTCCTATACATCAAATCAATCAGTTAATATTTCTCTCAACATATATATTTATACAGACATATAGACACACATATCCCTATACATATATGTATATATATTATGTGTGTGTATATATATATGCATATATGTATATATATAACTGTACATGAAATTATATTATGTCTATATGTATATCTATTATGCATATATATCTATGTCCAGAGATAATCAATAGGAGATCATATATCTACATTGGTTCTGTTTCTCTGGAGATCTCTGTTTAACTCTGGGAGAAAACCACTGCAGGAAGGGAAAGTAACCAGACCAAAGACCCTATGGCAGGAAGGCCAAGAAGGCTGACAGAGCTGGGGTGGACTGAGCAAAAGTGAGAGCTTGAAGGATGAGAAGGTCAGAGAAGGAATTTGCAGGCCACTGTAGGAACTTGTTATTTTATTCTTGGTGACATGGGGAGAGGTCTTTGTGCAGAGAATCACTGGCTGTCTGGTTGAAGTAGAAACTAGGAGCCTAGCCAAAGGACAGAATGGTGGTTCAGGTGAGACACAATGGTAACTGGACCAGAGTGACAGGTGGAAAACAGTGACAACTGTTAAGTTCCGGAAATATTTTGAACACAGGTGCAAACAGAGTTCCTAATAAATTTGGCATGAGGTATGAGAAAAAGAAAGGAGTCAAAGATGATCCCAAGTTTTTGGACTGAGTAACTGGAAATATAGCACTTGCAAAGACTGGCCTACTCTGACCTCTTGCCTGAAAATTGTAACCACCCTTCCTCTCTGTTGTATTTTCCAAATTATCAAATGATCACCTTCCACAATTCAGTTATATAGCACCGGGGTTCTCCCAAATAAAATTTAAGCTCCACCATGGCATGGCAGATATATTTTTGTCTGGTTTTATCCCAGGACAACTACATTTGTCTAGATCAGCGGTTCTCAACCTGTGGGTCGTGACCCCTGATGGTCACAGGGTCGCCTAAGACCATTGGAAAACACATATCTAATTACATATTGTTTTTGTGATTAATCACTATGCTTTAATTATGTTCAATTTGTAACAATGAAATTGGGGGTCACCACAACATGAGGAACTGTATTAAAGGGTCGCGGCATTAGGAAGGTTGAGAACCACTGGTCTAGATGCATCCCAAGCACTTAAAACAGAGCCTGGCTATTTTAATAGGTATTCAAAAATATTTTGGCTCCAAAATTCAGGCTTCAAAAGGTTAAATAACGTGTCTAATGTTATATATCTAGGAACTAATGACGGATTTGACCACAGGTCTTTCTGGTCCTGTCCACATTTTTTCTCCTACTTCCTAATTATACCTTGGCTGAAATATTAAAATCAATATTTCTATCTCTTGGAACAGAAATTTCTGCCCTGTGGTTTTATTATATCGTGTTGTTGAGTAGTGTGGTAGAAGATGTGACTGATTGTGAACTACTAACTATTAATACACACTTCCGGATTTATCAGACTGAAGAGTCAGCTGTGTCTCAGAGAGAGGGGCCAGGCTCTGGAGTCAAAAGACAAGGGTTTGAGGCCTGCCTCCACCACTTACTTGTTATAGAATCTGGGTGAACTCAATCATCTTGCCTAAGCCTCGATCTCCTTGTCTATAAAATAAATTCATTATATCATCTACCTTCGTGGGTGAATAGAATTAGTGTAGAGATATAATCCAAAAAGGTCAACAAGTTGTAATTAGCCTTATAAATATTTTATAAAGATGGCTTAAATTTGGTGACACTGAAGGAGAAAACAATTAAACATGCTCTATGTCAGTAGTCTATTCAACAGAAATTATCTTATTTTTTTAAAAAAATCCTTCCATATTTCTTTTTATTAAATATTTTTATGTTTTTATTGATTTAGAGGGAGAGATAGAAACATCAGTAATGAGAGAGAACCATTACTCAGCTGCCTCCTACAAGCCCTTGGGAGAGAGAGATAGAAACATCAGTAATGAGAGAGAACCATCTCTCTGCTGCCTCCTACAAGCCCTCTACTGGGGATCGAGCCCGCAACCCAGGCAAATGCCCTGACCAAGAATTGAACCATGATCTCCTGGTTCATGGGTCGACACTCAACCACTGAGCCACACTGACTGGGCTAAAAGGCATCTTATTTTTGTGTTGTTGTGGGTTTTTTCCCCCATCTGATCCCATTGGCTTCACTTCCTTCTCCACATTTACTACTTGATCACATTTCTGATAAAACCATCAGGGTCCCCTCAAATAAAAGTCTCAGAGTGTGCATCACAGGCCCTCCTCCTCTGACTCAGTACAGAGGTTATTAACACACATCCCCCTCTGCAAACAGAAACAAGAGAGCATATCAAAGGCCTCCCTTCTGTTCTATAAACCCTCTAGAAAATTATCTAAACTTTATCCTAATGTGTCAGATATTCAGCAAGGCCATTGAAGAAGCAAGTCCAATTTATGGCAATGTGCAGTCTCGGGTACAATCTACATACAAGCAGGCAACTTACAAACGCTGAGCCCAGGAGCAGAGTCCTGCCCCAAGGTGTCTGGCACATTCATCTGAATTCTCTCTCAGCCTCAGGTTTTTAAGAAAAGCGAATGCCCTTCCAACCAGCTGTCATTTTAGGTAAGGGTTTCAAGGAAAGTGTTTTTCTCTCTAAAGCTTCCAAAAGCCTGCAGCTTATTGATTTCTATCCTATGATCCCATATTCCAATTTCTAGATTATGTGCTGCCTCTCTGGAAATCCAGGGGATGGCAACATGGCAAACTGTGCTGCCAAACACTGCTCTTTTTGTGAATGTAATGTTTTAGCCCCAATTCATATCATCTTATGACCTCTCTCCTCTAGAGTTTACTCCTTATACAGGGATGGGCAGGTTACAGTTGGTTGTACGGAAAAAGACATGCAGGTCATGATTATTACAACAGTGAATAAATACACTCTGCTTCATCTACTCACAGCTGTAAACCTAATTTTTCCTGCCCTGTATATCTCTGACTTGGTTCTTACAACATATTGTCATCTCTATTACCCATTTTCTTTTAAATTTTTTCTATTTTTCTAAATACCTCCAATTTCTCAGCTATTCTCTGCTTTGTTAATAGACATTTAGATAAACACAACAGTAGTATTCTTAAGACTTATAGATTCATAAATACATATTTTATTTGCAAGAGAAAAAAATGTAATTATTAAATCATTTTAAGACGTGTCTTCTCAAATGTTAAAAACTTCAATATCTTGATTTGGGAGATGGTTATACAGGGTGTATATACACACATGGAGCTGTAAACTAAAGATGTGTACACTTTGCTGTGTACATGTTACACCTATTTTCTTAATGAAGAAAAAATCCCTGAATAGAGAGGACTCTTCAGAGACAGAGAGGAGGAGAATCTATTAATCCAACATTCAATGTTTTTGCTTAGCAGAAGGGAAAGGAGGGGGGGGGGACTTATTCTCAGAATAATCAAGAGCTACCTCAAGTCTATTGGGAGGGACTAAAATTTTTGCGCCACTGAAGTAAATTAATGTAGCCATTTACTAAAGAATAATTTAGACAATGGAGTCCCAAGCTCTCTAACACGTCTCCAACATTGAAAAGGAAACTCATGGCTTTTGTTCGAAAGCTTTTTCTGTTCATAGAAACAGTGATTGCACAAATAAAATGACTACAATATTATACTGAACACACTCTGCCAGACTCTGTACTAGAAACTTCAAATGATATTTTTCATCCACCCAATCATTCAATCAAATATTGGTTGACTACTACTGTGTGCCAAACACTGTGCTGGACACTTTGAGATATATACTTTCACAGAAGGGAGATTTTTCTCCCTGATTATGTTATGTTTAGTGCAATATTAAAATTCATGTAAATTTTGCAGTTTGAGAAATTCAGGCATTGTTTTAAGAATAATCTGCAAAAGTTATCATTGAATTTAAACATTTCACATATACGATGGATATGTAAAATAGAGAATCTGTTCCATTTAGATCATATACATTCAGATATTTTGGCTTAAGAAGTATGTGCATCAAGGAAAAAAAATGATAAAATTATGCTGGCTTTATCTATACAAAACTCTTTCAGCTCACAGAAGTCTAGGTAAAGAAAGAAGTATTGTACAGTATGTCCAAGTTAATAATTTACCTTTGCCATCTTCTCTGCCAATTGCAACCGGCCATCAAGTTCCCTCCTGATCTGGGCTGCTTGTTCATCTGCATTATCCAACTTAAAAAAAAAAACACACAAAAAACACAGAATTATACATATGTGATTGCTTAATTACAGTGACCTGCAGATTACAGTAAAAATTAAATGACTCAAAACCTTTTAAAATAAATTTTCTCAGCTACCTATTCAAAGAGAACAGTGAAGACTATTTAATTAGGTTAGCAGTCCAATTAAATTTCTTGGGCGCTTCTCATTGTGTTTTGGTTCACAATAAAAGTTAATAAATCTCTAAGGTTAATAGCTCAGTTTACCAAAAAACTAATTATAACAATTCTTCACCTAAACTGTTTTGGTTCACAATAAAAGTTAATAAATCTCTAAGGTAATAGCTCAGTTTACCAAAAAACTAATTGTAACAATTCTTCACCTAAACTCGTGGTCAGCAAACTGCGGCTCACGAGCCACATGTGGCTCTTTGGCCCCTTGAGTGTGGCTCTTCCACAAAATACCACGTGCGGGCGCACATGTACAGTACGATTGAAACTTCGTGGCCTATGCGTAGAAGTCGGCATTTTGTGGAAGAGCCACACTCAAGGGGCCAAAGAGCTGCATGTGGCTCGCGAGCTGCAGTTTGCCGAGCTGCAGTTTGCCGACCACTGACCTAAACTGTACACAACTCTAAACCAAGAAGTCCTCATTTCCTTCAGGTTATTTTAAATTGTCATGAAGTTCATTCAGCTCACTTTTCTGTCTTCATGAAGGTCAGTCCTAAATGGCTCCAGATAGATACATCTCATGTTTTGTTCTTTGAAATTCCCAGAATGCATTTCTGGACTGTGAGATACTGAGTCATCATTTCATTTCTTTGTTCTTTTAAAAAACAGTCCCTTCATTTTTATAGCAAGTCTGTATTAGTGCCAAACTACAAAAGTACTATTTGATTGAAATAATTTTCTACCATTCAAGTCTTTATATATGCCTCATTCCAGTACCAACAAACTCACACTGCCAAGACAGCCTTCCATTCTTTCACAGACTGGCACCACATTAGAATTTCAGTCTTGTTCTAAATTGGACTGAAAGCAAGAAAAGCATGCTATCATCATTTTTAAGATATCTGCACTTACATGAAAAATTACTTTCACTTCTCCAATGAAATAATCTTTAACTTTTTCTATACCTTCCTTTAACTTTCCTCATAATTCCTTTCCCCCCAATTATTCATTCAATCTTCCTTTATTAATCGACTAGAGGCCCGGTGCACAAAAATTTGTGCACTCGGAGGGGTCCCTCAGCCCGGCCTGTGCCCTCTCGCAGTCTGGGAGCACTCGGGGGATGTCCACCTGCTGGCTTAGGCCCGCTCCCCAGGGGATCGGGCCTAAGCTGGCACTCAGACATCCCTCTGGCAGCCCGGAAGCCCTCAGTGGATGTCCACTTGCCAGCAGGGAGCAGACCTAAGCTGCAGTCGGACATCCTTAGCACTGCTGAGGAGGCAGGAGAGGCTCCCACCATCACCACTGTGCTGGCAGCCGTCAGCCTGGATTGTGGCTGAGCAGAGCTCCCCCTGTGGGAGCGCACTGACCACCAGGGGGCAGCTCCTGCATTGAGCGTCTGCCCTCTGGTGGTCAGTGTGTGTCATAGTGACCAGTCATTCCCAGTTGTTCTGCTGTTAGGGTCAATTTGCATATTACCCTTTTATTATATAGGATAGAGGCCTGGTGCACGGGTGGGGGCTGGCTGGTTTGCCCTGAAGGGTGTCCCGGATCAGGGTGGGGTGCCTGGCCAGCCTGGGTGAGGGGCTGATGGATGTTTGCAGGCTGGTCAAGCCCCACATTGGGGACCCTCATCCCTTGGGGGTTTGGCCAGCCTGGGTGAGGGGCTGAGGGCCGTTTTCAGGCTGGCCACAGCCGCGGGCTGGAAGCAGGTATCTGGGATTTATTTATCTTCTATAATTGAAACTTTGTAGCCTTGAGCAGAGCTCAGGGCTGGCAGGGCAGGCGGGAAGTTTGGCTTCCTCCATCGCCGGGGGCAACCTAAGCCTCCTGCTTGCTCCAGCTCCGTGGCCGCTGTCATCTTAGTTGGGTTAATTTGCATATTTGCCCCTGATTGGCTGGTGGGCATGGCTCTTGGGCATGGCTTGTGGGTATAGCGGAGGTACGGTCAATTTGCATGTTTCTCTTTTATTAGATTAGATTATAAAACCTGTTAAACTGACCTGAGTCATGCACAATATGGGAAGCACTGGGGGCTAGAGATGGGAACCAGGTAGATGTTTCTCTGAACTCATTTCTTCCCCTCTCCCATTCCTATCATTAAGAGGCCTGCACCACACAATACAACCATGTCTTAGTAAAGATCCACCTAAAGATCGAATTAGTACTGAGTACATTAAACACCCAGGAGAATGCAGATTAATTTGTCCATTTGCTAAAGAACTAAAAGCTGACCATGTTACCTTCTGAAACTCGCCTTAACAAGAAAAAGGTAAGTAGGAGCAAGCCAGGTCAACAGGATGGTGGTGTTGGAATGCACATGGAAAGCAAAGAAAAGGGAAGATGTTCCAGTAAGAGGCACCAAGTCTGGAGTTGAGACTAGACCAGCCGTGGGCAAACTATGGCCCATTTGAAATTAATAAAACTAAAAAAAAAAAAGACCATACCCTTTTATGTAATGATGTTTACTTTGAATTTATATTAGTTCACACAAACACTCCATCCATGCTTTTGTTCCGGCCCTCCGGTCCAGTTTAAGAACCCATTGTGGCCCTTGAGTCAAAAAGTTTGCCCACCCCTGGACTCGACAATGGTTTGGGAAATGAAGTACTTTGGGGTTGGGGGAGGGGGACTTGGGAGATGGGTCTGGAGAGAGAGGAAGAGCTACTTCATGAGCTCATCTTCATGGCCAGGGAGTATGGAGTTGGTTCCTACATCAATGAGAAGTCATTAGAAGGTTTTACCTCTTTTGTAGAAAGATATCATAAAAAAGGAAAGGAAAGAATTGCATGGAGCTAAAAAGTGGGTCAGCTGTCATACAGCTTTTCAGCAGTGAAACACCGAGAGGGGGGGATCAGATCACCAAGCGAAGAAATAATAAAGTGATGCTTACATTCCACCCCCCAAAAAAGGGTTTGACATGATCCGATCTGAGCTTTGGAAAGGAGAGATCTGGATCAGATCACCAAGCGAAGAAATAATAAAGTGATGCTTACATTCCACCCCCCAAAAAAGGGTTTGAGCAGGTGACGGACATGATCCGATCTGAGCTTTGGAAAGGAGAGATCACTCTGTCTCCAGCACAAACAGGAAGTCTATTTGTTTATTTAAAAGAAGATCTGGGGTTACCTTTCTAAAAAAATATGTTCCCAAGTTGATTTTAAAAATCAAATCCATTTTAAAACAAGGTTAAAAATAGGCAAGATTTTCATAAACTAAATCCTTATTGCAAAGGAGTTTCTCTGTCATCTCAAAAACAAACACACTTATAAATTAAACTTTATCATAAGTCTGTATGTATATGAAAAACATAGTATATATAAGATTCAATATTATCCATGGTCTCAAGCTATCCACTGGCGTGGGGGGGGGTGTCTCAGAACATATCCCCTGCAGGTAAGGGGACTACTGTAATGTTGGGCCATGTAAATAGCATGCCTATATACCCAGTTGTTCAAACCTTGGTGTCATCATTGAACTCTTTCCCTCACAGCCCACATCCAACCCAATCTAGTCATGTAGAGTAAAACCTAGAGTCACATAGTTGAGGCAGACCAGAATTTAGGTACTGTGAGTCCTTGACCAAGACTCTTTCTACTTCAGTATGGTGGAGCGTTTCCCTAGCTACTTCAAGCACATCTCATTTTTGCAAGTACAGTTGTACATATTGTCATGGTGAAAATATTGTTTTCTTTTTTTAACTCTCCAGAGAACTTGGTTTTGCATACCGCTCCCCACCCCAACCCCCAAAAATGAGGGAAGGAAGAAGAAAAGCCTGAATGGATGGTTTGTAGATGTGAGGCATTAGACTTTAAAATGGTGGTGACACACCTGTCTCTGGTGCCAGATTTGGGCTATGAGATAAAGAAAATGGGGATATGGAGTTGGTGGTGGGAGCCAGGGTCAAGTCCTCACTCCACAAAGACTTCACCTTAACTCCATTTTCTTTTACTTTAAATTTCTGATTTCAACAGTTTATGTGATGATAGATTACCTACCTCACAGATGGCCTTTCTTGGCACAGGATAGTTTCCAAGTCTTTGAAAGAGGGTCATTCAACCCTGACAATAACAGATGCCCAAATGTACCTTTATTCTCTGCAATGCCTCTAGTAGCTATTACATGGAGCCTTCTACAACTTGTAAAAATATTTCACTGGTTTGACAAATATTTAGTACGGAAGACAGAGTTGTATTTTCCTCCTGTTCATTACACAAGGATTACTGTTTCCACACTCAGACTTCTCTAGGCTAGGGAGTTTTAATTCTGGACCTTTGGGAGTCTATGAACCTATTCAAGTTGTGGTGAAAATCTGGTAGAGATATGTGTTTCTTTCCCCTTGGGGAACTGTTTAAATTTCATAGCTTACCAAAGATTCTCAAAGGGGTGGTTAACTCGAAAGAGGCAGAAAGTCATGTTCTAGGAGAAACTTCTGTATAGAAGCTTCTGTTTGTTTGTTCTAAAAGAGTCTGCAATGGCTTTCAAACATAAGATATGGAAAACGGCCACCTCAGACCTACACATCATCAACCCTACCCTTACAGAGATTTGTTAAATTCTTTGGAAAGGGGCAGTAAGACCTAGGCTCTTAACAATGTTGACTTGAATGGCCCATGACCACTTCATTAACTTTGCTTTTTTTCTCCATTGTACAGCAAGCCGTATTGCGAAGTCTTCAGCAGCTACAAAAAGTGTGTCCTTCCAGAAGTTCACACTTTATACCGAAAATAGTAAAAACTGTACGTAAAACAATATAATTGATACAAGAAAGTTACTGGTCAAGTATTGTGGGAATTCGGTGATGGAAGAGATGTTTTTCCTGGTTGACAATAACAGGATGAATTT